GAAGAAATGCTTGGTAAGTGCCGCTCTCGTGGACGCAGACCCATTTTCCTGCTGTGCAGACACTAGCATATGCTGCGGCGTGAGTAGGCTCATCAGAAGGAGCAGCTGTAGATTCTAATATAAACAAGCTGAGTATAAGCCAGAGTTTCCTTAAGGAAAAATGCCAATCACAGCACTTGGGAGAAGAGGCAGGAGGACTGCCATGAGTACAAGGCCAGCTTTGGGCTACATAGTGAGTACCAGGCCCTCCAGGTCAAGACCCTGTCTTAAAAAACAAAACAAACAGGGTAGAGGAGGGAAAAGGGGGGGAGGGGACAAACAGATGTGGGGGTTGGAGAGAACTGAGAAAAAAGATTTTCAAATGGTAAGGGTATCACAATGCTATACACTGCTTACAGTTTTTAAAGAACAGACTTTTAAAGGCCAAAAGGGAAAGGAAAAAAGGTGTAGCAAAGTGTTGAGCAAGAAGACACAGAAACGCAAAGTGGACAGTGCTTCAGCTGCCCAGGCCTCATCTGGACCAGCATGCAGTCCTTTGTGTGCAGCTGTGTGTGGGGGTTGACTCTGTTCTGCCTCTGACTTTCGTTTTTCCTTTTTTAATAAAAGATTTTCTTTTATCTGTGTGGATATTTTTACCTGCATGTGTGTATATATACCACATGTGTGCAGTATCCACAGAGGCCAGAAGAGGGCATTGGATTCCTTAGAACCAAGGAGCTGTTAAATTTCTGTAAGTGCAACAAGTGTCCCTAACCACTGAGCTGCCTCTCCAGCTCTCTCCTTGTTTGTTTGTTTGTTTGTTTGTTTGTTTTTGAGCCAGGGTATCTTTATGTAGCCCTGCCTGGCCTCAAACTCACTATGTAGACTAGGCCAGCCTCAGGCTCACGGAGATTTGCCTGCCTCTGCTCTGCCCCCTCCTCCTTGTGCTGGGACTAAAGGTGTATGCTATCATACCTGGCCTTATTTTTGTTTTCTGAGGCAAGGTCTTATACTGGATGCCCGGTTGATCTAGCCCTCACTATACTCACTCTGTAGCCCAGAGCGGCTTCAAACTCACAGCAATCCTGTCTCAGTTTTACGCATCTGTGGTGATGTTTACTCTCCCTCTGAAGTCTGGGATACTCTGGGTGAGGATGTGTGGTGGATTCTTTAATCACACACTGTCTGGTACAGAGTGGAGCTAAGAGCCCTCTGGATGCTGTAGGCTGAGAAAGAGGAACATCTCGAAAAGGCAGCCACTGGCTTTGTAATGGTCAGTAGAATAAAGAGGAGCCAGCTGCATGATCAGTGGGGGACTCAGCGTTTGCAGCCTGCCTTGCAGAGTGGACCACAGCCTTAAAACAGAGCTGTAGCAACAAGCAAGACCGCTATTATCTCATGAGCTGTTTCTTTATCTTAGGATGTAAGACACCCATAGGAAAACCAGTCACAGCAAAACTTTAGTAATCATGAAGCGGTTGTGGAAAATCCAGTTCCACATGACAGTCAAAAGGACTCACTGCCACAAATGGACATAGAGAGGAGGATGTGTTTTCCGTCTCCGAGACCTTGTGAGCTGTACTTCTGCCAAGAGGAGGAAATGGTCAGTGAGAGCGTCAGTGTGATCTTCTGACACAATGACTGCTGGCATTCATGTCAACTGTGTGTCTAAAATAAAAGCTTTTGAAAACATTCTTGGAAAGCAGAGCTCAGGCCCCCATCACTGCCACGCGGTTTCCCACACATGCTCCACCTTCAGGCCTGCATGTGACGGATTGTACAGCAGAAGCTTTGGCCCCTCAGCTGTGCAGAAATAGGCTGAGGAGGGGACCCAGGTGAGTGTTCACAGCCCAGCCTGGAGCTGGAAGCATGAGCATGAGAGTTCTCTCCTGAGATTCATGCAGGTCCCAGTCAAAACACAGGTGTATTAAGAACATTGTGTATGGTTACCTGTGGGCTGTGTGTGTTCGTGTCTAGACTTAGGTCATATCTTTAAGACATTTTGTTTTAGATCAGCAGATCTTCCAAACTCTAAAAAGCAACCCAGTTCAGTTCTCTTTGTCAGAGTACTCGATAACTTGTTCTTATTGAACAACAAAAAATCACCTTTAGATTGGACACACTTCCTTCCATCGTAAGCATTTTGGATAAGGGACGCAACCTGTACCTTACATTTCTACCTTAATTAAGTTGACTCAAGTACAAATTCAACAGAAGTGTATAATAAACTATCTAGTTTAAATTTTATACCCAGTAGTCTCATGAACAAGTTGAACTAAGCGAAGTGTGAACAACAAAGAGATGTTTACATGATGTGACATGAATATACGTGGAGAGAGGAGGAGTTTGAATCGAGACAGGACAGCTCTGCAAGTTAGTCCCTCTGGAAGTGACCTGTGACCCCAGCATTGGTGGAACTATATCAGGGAGTGGGGCTGAGTAATAGAGGAAAAGACTATGGGTGTGTGCAGAGAGGATCGTGGCCTCACATGGGCCCTTGGGGGCTGCCAGAGCAGAAAGCAGGACCTGCGGAATGCATCTAGCCTTGAATTCCTTGTACTCTGAGAGCTGAAGTCCAAGATGAAGGTGCATCCACAGCAGGTTCACCTTGGCTTTGGACATGACTGCTAACTCTCCATGAGACTTGGGAGAAAGTAGGCTGGACATGGTGGTACCTGCTGTATTCCCAGCAGGATTCTCAGCATGAGGAGCTCTCCCTCAGTATATGAATCTAGGCTACAGCTCAATCATCGGGGATAGGCATTTTAATGTAAGAACCAAGGAGGGTCACTGAGAAGCCCAGTATGGTCCTTTTTCCTAATTCCCCAGGTGGTGCCTCTATCCCCAGGCCCTATGACAGACAGGCCCTATGGCAACATTTGCTGCTTTGAGAAGCTAGAGGGGATTCCCGCATGTTGAAATGAGCAGGGCCATTGAACAGTGGTCCTGGCAGTGGACTCTGGTGGGCAGATTACAGGTCCATCAGCCACTGTCAGCTGCCACACCTAAGCACACTCTTCTGACCTGAGCTGAGCTGTTCACCAGCCAGGTGCTGGCCTTGAACTCAACAGGTGGCTGAAGATGAATGAACTTCAGGTCCTCCTGACTCCACCTCAGTGCTGAGAGAGACTACAGGCACGCACCACCATGCTGGTTTATACAGTGCTTCTGCAGTGCTGGAGATTGAACTCGGACCGTTGTGCACGCTAGGCAAGCACTGTACTACACCTTATCCCAGGCTCAAAAAGGTACCTCCAGGAAAATAGTGTGGAAAATTGAAGTCAGCCAGCACACTACGTTTACTAGATCCTTCGGTGGCAAGACCAAGCAGAAGAGACAGACTGTGGGCATCTGGCATCATGGTTCCTGCATAAAAACAGTGGCCAGAGGGACTTAGACCTACAGTGCCATATCTGTGGCACAGTCAGGTCTGCCACCAGAGACTGAAAGGCCAGTAGAAGCACTGCTATTGGAGATCTCTAGCTTACAGTACATGGGTTAATGTAAATAACAAAAAGGGGACTGTTTGGCACAGCAACACCTAGAAATAGATTATATACATACCCCCCCCTCTCTCGACAGGGTTTCTACATTGTCATAGCTGTCCTGAATTCACTGTGTAGATCAGGCTGGCCTCGAACTCAAGAGATCTATCTGCCTGCCTCTACCTCCTAGCTGGGATTAAAGGGATGCACCTGGCCTTTTTTTCAGGCAGGGTTTCACTGGGTAGCCGTGATTAGCCAGAGATTCCCTTGCCACTGCCTCCTTGAATGCTGGGATTAAAAATGTGTGCCATCACATCCAACTCAGGATATTTTCAAGTCACAAACCCTTGACGCTAACAAGATTACAGAAAATGAAGTCATGATTTGTTAACTGTGGACACTACGCTGTTACAGAAAACCCCCAGGAAGTACAGCTACAGTGAGATGCTTTGAAACACTTGTGTGAATAAAGCCAGGTAATTGAATTCCGGGGGCGGTGCACATAGCGCTTGCCAGGGTCGCCTAGCAGACTGTCAGGCGTTCGACATGGGTGAGGACCTTGCTGCTCTCTGCAGTCCCTCCAGGTCTCTTCCAGACATGCCCATGGTACACGCTTCCCTTTCTTTTCACACCTGTATTTGCCAGGAGTTTCATGAGAAACTGCCACAGTGTTCCTGTGGTCCACAGCCATTTTTGTTAACGTCCTATTTTTTTTTTGGTTTTTCGAGACAGGGTTTCTCTGTGGTTTTGGAGCCTGTCCTGGAACTAGCTCTTGTAGACCAGGCTGGTCTCGAACTCACAGAGATCCGCCTGCCTCTGCCTCCCGAGTGCTGGGATTAAAGGCGTGCGCCACCACCGCCCAGCTACGTTGTCCTATTTTTAAATATAGGACAGGCAGCGTGAATCCTTTAACTCTATAGTGGCTTTCTTATTTCCCACCCACTGTTGTGATATTTACCTCAGTCAGTGATCCACAGGTAGTATAAAACTTGGCTCTTAAAATTCTCATTTGTACATCTGAAATTTCCCACTCAAGGATAGCCTAAAAACCTTGGGCTTTCTAGGACCCTGGGTGTTGCTTTAAGTACTTGCTTAGCATAAGGCCCTGGGCTTGATCTCCAGCACCCTCAAGACTTAAACTATTTATTCTCAATTCTGACAGTATGCACAATATTTAAAATCTAGTAGTTCTCTGTCCTCTCCATATAAATAAAAACATAATATTGAATAAAGCCAGGCAGTGGTGGCGCATGCCTTTAATCCCAGCACTTGGGAGGCAGAGGCAGGTGGATCTCTGTGAGTTTGAGGCCAACCTGGTCTACAGATTGAGTTCCAGGAGAGGTTCCAAAGCTACAGAGAAACCCTGTCTTGAAAAACCTAAAAAAAAAAAAAATACTGAGTAAATATAAATAGAACTGGCCAGACAGGTGGTGGCTGGCTGCACACATTTTACAATCCCAGCACTCTGGAGGCAGAGACAGGAGGATCTCTGAGCTCAATACCAGCATCGTCTACAAAGACAGTTCTAAGCCAGCCAGGGCTAGAGCAAGATCCTGTTATCAAAATAACTGCAGACAAATAACCAAATTGAATGTTACAGTAGCAATTCCATCCGGTGTGAAAACATTGTAAAGCTTTATTTTATCAGTTTAGAAAATGTCATTTTACAGCATATCGAAGTATACAGCAATGCTGTCGTCTTCAACAGCAAGCCCCAGCTTCCAATCCTAGCTGAGAATCAAGGTGCAGGAGGAAAGTGCTGGGAATCTATCGACAGGCAGCATCTTGAACAGAAAGGACTTGGAGCACTTAAGTGTCAGGAGGCTTTCATCAGAGACCAAATTCCAACCTTAATTAATCCCACTGTAATTCCTGATCTATGCAGTTAGTGTTGAACCAAACAAGAAAAGGTAATTAATGTTCAAGTGGGGAGTCAGAACGAATGCCACCGTCACCGTGCCAGTGCTTTAGAACTTGCTTGGTGTCTGGCACCCAAGGTGGATCCAGTCAGCTTCCCAGGAACACAGACTTGCCAGACTCCCTCTACTATACTGAGGAACACATTGGCCCATTCTTAGCAGAATAAAATTCTCTACTTCCATTTCCATAGATTTATTATGTGGGGAAATAGTCATTCTTACAGCTCTCTGCACAGCTTTCCATTCCCCAGAACCCAGCGCTGTATTCACACACAACATTCCGTATGTCAGACTTCAGGAGGCACCAAATAATCACCACAACCGCACAATTCTATGAAATTCAAATTTCCAATGATCTTAAATTAATATTTTTGTTTGGCTGGGAATCAGTTATGGTCATGTAAAAAAAGAAAAACAACCCTATGCTCAGCAGAGTGGTACAAGCCTTTAATCCTGGCACTTAGGAGGCAGAGGCAGGAAGATTTCTGAGTTCAAGGCCAACCTGGTCTACATTGAGAGTTCCAAGACATCCAGGACTACATAGAAAAACCCTGTTTAAAAAAAAAAAAATCCTAACATAGAAAAAAGTAATCAGCAATGGTGATTTCCAACTTTTTAAGTACGCAGAGCTAAAAAATAAAAATAAAAATGTTGGTCTGGTCTGAAATGAGTTAACTAAGCCTAGGAGTTTTATAGCCCTAAATCACTGCAGAAACCATTTAAGGATTTTGGGTTTTTTCTTGATTTTATTTATTTATTATGTATACAGTGTTCTGGCTGTATGTGGCCAAACATGCCAGAAGAGGGCAGCAGATCTCATTATGGATGGTTGTGACACCATGTGGTTGCTGGGAATTGAACTCAGGACCTCTAAAAGAAATGCCAATGCTCTTAACCTCTGAGCCATCTCTCCAGCCCTCCATTTAAGGTTTTACACAATTTTATGTCTTAACACTATCTTTTGTATTCAGAGGAGAAATAACCCTTAGAAGCAGTGGTATAAGAACAGCATCATGAACACAAGCCACAGGTGGAAGCTGTGGTAAGCAGGTCTTGGAAAACACTTTCTACTATAGGAACATTAGATATCAGCATAGAGCAGAGCATTCTACAAGCCTAGCTCCCACTCGCCTACACTTTCCTTTACTGAACAATCTGATATAACCTGCAATTCTCCTAAAAGTTGTTTTTTTTTGTTGCTTTTGAGGCAGGGTCTTTCTACAGAGCCCTGCCTGTCCTGGAGTTCACCTTGTTGACCTGGCTGGCCTTGAATACGCACACCTGCCTCTCCTGCCTCTTGCTTCCAGTGCAGCGATTAAAAGCATCGGCATTCCTGGCTCTTGTGTTTTAAAGTGCAACACAGCATTGGAGGGGTCACAAAAGGTCCCTTCCCTGTGCTTGAGGCATATCTATCTCTCCTCAATTATCCACTAAGTTACAAAACAAACAAAAAAAGGGACACCCATCAGGGCAGAGGGTGTGGTCAGCGGGTAGAGTGCTTGCCTGGTATGCACAAAGCCCTGGGTTTCCCAACATGGCATAAACTGGGCATGGTGGCAAACACCTGTAACCCCAGCCCTTGGGAAGTGGAGTTAGATTTAGAAATTCAGGGTCTTCCTTGGGTACAAAACCAGCCCATGACACCAGCCTGGGCTGAAACCTATCTCAAGAAAACAAATATCTGCTCAAAGCAGGCATTCTTTAACAGTGAGTTTGCATTACTTTTCTAACTCCTCATCTACACAGACCTTGAACTACCAGCAAATATTCAGAAAAGGAGCTCTGCATTCACCTTAAATCTCAGTGGCTCCTAAACCAGGCTGGGGCCCACAGCAGCCTGCAGCCACTCACCCACGGCCAGGCTTCTTGGGGTGGGCCTTTCCCTTCCTGAACATGGCAAAGGCACTGCAGCAGCAAATTCATTGGTCTGGAATATGTTAAAAATTCACCATAGTCCTTGTGATTCCCGGAAAGATGCACTAGAGCGAAATACTATGATGCTAATTAGCCATGGAACATACTATCTTTTGGATGTCTGCGGAGTTGTTTTATGAAGACTTCCATGTACCTATGAACACTGGAGAATCTGGTACCCACTTATCCAAATCTATCCCAAACCAGTTTTCCCAACTCCTGTCTTCTCTCCAAACGGATTAGTTTAAGGAATACATAAAGCCAATGCATTACATAGCACTGACCATTAAGAAGCTACAATTTTGCTGGGGTTTACATATTTTTCTAGGTGGCACAGAGTGCATTGCTCCTGAATGTCCTACGGTGAGAAGTGTGTTTCAAGTTGGAGGGTAATCTGAAATGCCATGGTGTGACCATGCATTCCTTAAGGAGTTAGTATGAAAGTGTGGCTTATGCTCTAATATTCCAGTATGGGGGCACTTAACACATTTTCTTTTCTCCTTTAACTGTGTTTCTACGAGGGTACTGTGTACGCTGTTTTGACTCTGAGGAATGTGCTGACAAAAGTGTCATATAAATACAGATAGTGCACTGTAGTCTGTGCACACACACACGTGCATACACATACATACATATACACACGCACACACACGCACACCCCAGACCAGGGCCTCAGACCACAGAAGTGGTGCTCTCGGGATTCACCCGCAGGAGTCTGGATGCATTCCGCAGGTCCTGCAGCTGCTTGGCAGGTTTCCCCACACCTTCCTCAAACCTCCTCTCCACCACTGGGAGGACAGTTTCATAAAGGAAGGATGCATTCTGCCTGATGAAGGCCTTCTTCTCTGGGTCCTGCTCGCACCGCAGGCTGTAGTCCACGTGCTGCACGGCGACCAGGATGACTTCCACCAGACTCTCCAGGAGCACCATGTGTAGCTCTGGGAAGTATAGTTTCAACGCCTCCTCCAGGAAGCCCATGGTCTGCTTGGTGAAAGCCACCACTGTGTAGCTCAAGTTCACCCAGCAGTCATCTCCCGTGTACTGCTCGAAGTTACTGACCCCACAACTTCTCATCTCCTCTTTGAGCTTTCCCAGGGCCTCAGGGGTCATCAGGTTCATCCGGCGCCACATCTCCTCTGAGTTTCGGTGCTTGGTAGCTTCAATGATAATCTCCTTGTAACTGTGTAAGGCCCCCTGGATGTCCTTCACCAGCAGGGCATGGATGATGAAGGTGAGATCCAGCCCAATCTCTCCCAGCTGTTGGCAGTGCTCCTTGGCCACCTTCACACACTCGGCTGCAGTGGACAGGCTCTCCTTGCTGTCGAAAACCTGCTTGCTGAAAGCATCCACAAACATGCCCATCGCAGACCTTGCCCAGACCACGAACGCAGAGTAGCAGCCGCTGTCCGTGCCTGCAAAGTCTGTCTCAAATTCCCTTGCCGTCTCCAGCAGGCTGGTAAAGAAGACGTGGCAGAGTTTGTGGATGTAGAGCAGGGTGGCGCCCTCGATCCGAAGCTGGCGGATGGCAGTGTGCACGGCTGCTGCCCTGTTCCTCAGAAACAGCTCACAGGCCTTCGTGCACTGGCCCAGCCGGATCAGCTGCGACACTGCCCTGCGAGTCGCCTTTGGGCCACCTCTCAGAGAGCGATCCGGGGAGAGCTCAAACACCAGCACGTCGGTGAGCTGCCGCACTCTTTCGTCCACTTTGGCCCTCAGCTCTTTCACAGGAGGTGGGCTGGGCTTATTTTCCAGGTAGTGATTCAGTTTGTCCAGCAAGTCCACGGCGCCCTCAAAGTCCCTCTGCGCAATACAGACATCTAGGTCTTCGGGCAACTCCTGGATCCACTCCATGGAGAGGTCTACCTTTTCCTCCTCTACCTCGGGGGGGACCAGTTCTTCATCATCCTCGTCTTCAAACGGGTTGCCGCTCTTGGAAGTGACCGGTGGAGGCGCGCGGGGGGCCGCGGCCTCCTCCTGCTCCCTCCTCCTCTTGTCGCTGAGCGCCCTCTTGGTTTCCTCCAGCACTTCCAGCCACTCGCGTTTAATCTTGGCATTTTCCGCCTGAAAGATGCGGCTCTCGGGGAACATGAGCAGCTTGAACATGTCCTTCATGGGCGGGTTGTCCTTGACGTTGACCACCGCCAGGCGGTCCAGCGGATAGAGCGCGTTGTAGCGGTACATGCCCCGCCGCTGCGGCAGCCAGGTGGCCACCAGCAGACAGTCGTTCATGAGGAAGCCGTGCACGCGCTGCAGCTGGGCCATGTGGTCCGCCTCGTACTCCACCAGGTCCCCGTTGTACACCAGGTACTGGCCCGGCGTCTCCAGCAGGTCTCTGCAGCCCTCGACCTTCTCCAGCAGCGTGGTGAGCGTGCGTTGCTTGCCCTCCTCGCCCGCGCCGGGGCCGTCGCGGGGACCGCCCGCCGAGCCGGGCAGGAAGCCTGCCTGGGCCGCCCCGCGCTCCCGGGGCCCCGCGCCCGCCGGGTCCTCAGCCGCGGAGGCGCCCGCGGCGGCGGCGGGCAGCAGGGCCAGCGGGATGCTCTCCAGGCTGCTCTTCTGCTCCGTCAGCAGGTGGCTCAGCTGGTACATCTCGCTCTCCAGGTACGAGATCTCGCGCGCCGTCTCGATGAACTGCCGGTAGTTCTGGTAGACATTGCGCTTCAGGTTCTGCGCCGTCTCCTCCGCCAGCGCCTGCACGCGCTGCCGGTGCTCCTGCAGGTCGCGGTCGCCGTCCGACTGCTGCGACAGCTGCTTCACGTACAGCCGCGCCTCGAAGCCCCCCGACTCCAGCTGCCTCCGCAGGCGGCTCGCCCCGCTGTCCGACATGGCTGCTCCCCGTCCTGCGGCCGCCGCCCGCCGTCGCTGTCACTCGCCGCTCCCGGGCCCCACCCGAGTCCCACAGAGAAGACGGCTGAGGAAGCGGGGCGGGGGCGACAGCCGAACGCCTGCGCCGGAGCTGAGCGTCGCATTGCGCCTGTGCGAGAGGCGAGGCTCTCCTCCAGCGCCTGCGCGTGGGGCGGAGGGCCGGCGGAGCGCCTGCGCGCAAACAGCCACGCCTTAAGGCGCGTGCGCGAAGGAGCCAGTGCGGAAGTCAGAGGCGGCTCGGACGCGCAGTAGACCTGACATGCGACGCCGGACGTCAGGAGCCTTCAGGAGGCAGCCGGCTGGCTTCCCTCAGCCGTCCCTAGCCCGAGCCCCGCATTCCTAAGCCGGTGTCCGCGGGACGACGTGAAGCCGCTTCTGCCGAGGCGTTCGAGGCGAACCGGCGCGCGTCCGACCGCCAGCCCCGGAGCTCTCGCGAGACCCGTGCGCCGCGCGAGCAGTACCGGCGTCTCCGCAGTGGCCTGGGCGGGAGTAGCGCGATGGACGAGGACCTGGTGGTAGCGCTGCGGCTGCAGCAGGAGTGGGACGTGCAGGTGGCGCGGCGCGCGGCGGCGCGGGAGCCCGTGTCGTTGGTGGACGCGTCCTGGGAGCTGGTGGACCCCACCCCGGACCTGCAGGCGCTCTTCTTGCAGTTTAACGACCGCTTCTTCTGGGGGCAGCTGGAGGCGGTGGAAGTGAAGTGGAGTGTGCGCATGACACTGTGAGTGCGCCCCACGAACGGCTCCGAACGTCGGGGAGGGCGAGGCGGCGGCGTTGTCGTTGGTGTCCCCTGCCTCGCGGCGGACGGAGACGTGCCTGCGCTCCAGAGCGGGCCGGGTTTAACGGCCCCCGGTGCTGTACCAGCGGGATCCCCGTGCCACCCGTTGAATCAGAGAAGCCCCAGTTGAGCTAGCAATCTGCCCCTCTCCTCCAGCGTCCTGTCCCCTAGAAAGCGGCCTGCGGTAGAGCAGGGGAAGATGTAGTGTAGCTGTCACTTCACACCAACCCTGTGCCCCTGCCGACGCGGTGGCTAAACCGTTCCCTGCTGATCATTGCCTGTGTGGGGCTGACTGGGTGACAGTGGGTGAGGGCGAGCAAGTGTTACTGCCTGCAGCCAAATGCTCCCCTAAGGAAAGCCATCTGCCTTTAGGGACGTTTCCCGTGCACCGCATACGAACTGGTAAGATTCTGCTTTTGTTTTACGTTTTGTTCGTTTGTTTTTGAGACAGGGCCCCACTACGCATCCCGTCTGGCCTGGAACTTAGAACATCTGCCTGCCTCTGCCTCCATAGTGCTGGGATTACGGGCGTATTCCGCCGGGGCAGGCTAGTGTTTACTTTTGATCAGTCTCCTCTGACTCTCCAAACAGTGGATTTGGTGAACCTAATCCATTGTTGTGATTGCTTTCCAGGTGTGCTGGGATCTGCACCTATGAAGGAAGAGGAGGAATGTGTTCCATCCGTCTCAGTGAACCCCTTCTAAAACTGAGACCCAGAAAGGACCTTGTAGAGGTATTCTTTGATAAGCCTGGTTCTCAGCTCAGTGGTTTGCAGGGATTTGTTTGGGTTTTGTTTGTTTTTGTTTTTTGTTTGTTTGTTTGGTGAAGACAAGATCTTAATGATAGCCCAGGCTGGTTTTCCCTGGCCAGGATATTTTGTTAATTTTTAAGAGGCAGTCTCTGTTACCCAGGTTGGCCATGGTTTTATGTGCTTCTGTTGCTTGCTTCAGCCTCCTCAGCAAGCTGGCATGCATGTACCCAGATATTTTTTAGGGGGATAATGCCGCCAAGCTGGTCTCAAGTTCCTGATCCTCTAACCTTGTGTGCTGGGATCACAGGCAGGCAGCATTTTGTGCCCAGCGTATACTTTGTGCCCATTTAGTCCTGGGCTGTTTGTTCTTTTGGTATTGGCATTTCCATGATGGCTTCAGGAGTCCCTTGTGTTCAGAATTCAGAGCCCGTGATAATAATGTTGCTGAGCTGTCAGAATCCTCTTTTGATATTGCTTACAGTGGGTTCCTCTATCAGAATTGTAAAGTTTTTATGTGGTTGGAGTCATCAACCGTCAGTGTTTGAGTTGGTACATAGGTAAGTAGGCCTTTTTGAGCAAGTGTAATTCCTTGAAAGGAATTGTTCACTGGGATCTGCAGAGCTTGGAATATACAAAGTTTTGTGTACTTAGGCCTACAGATGGCTAAGACTCCTAAATTAAGAAAGAAAATGCATTTTCATCTTCAGACATGCCCTAGAAAATTAATTTGCTGGTTTTCTGTTTCAGACTCTTTTGCACGAAATGATACACGCCTACTTATTTGTCACTAATAATGATAAAGACCGAGAAGGACATGGCCCGGAGTTCTGTAAACATATGCATCGCATTAACCAACTGACAGGCGCCAACATAACGGTATGGTGAGCTGCACATGTTCCGGGAGCAGGGGAGACAGTAAACCAGTTTAACCTTAAACTCACAATTCTCACTTAGCTTCCTAAGCACTGGGGTTATAGGTTTGTGCCCCCAGGCAGCAGCCATTCAGAGTTACCATGCTTAGATTCATTCTGTAAACTGAAGATTTTCATCCTTGAACAAGAGTTCTACAGAGGGCTGGAGCGATGACTGCTCTTCCAAAGGACCCGGCTTTAATTCCCAGCACCCAAATGGCAGCTCACAACTGTCTGTAATTCTAAGATCTGACACCCTCACACAGACATGCATGCAGGCAAAACACTAATGCAAATAAATAATACATTTTTTTCTAAAAAGGACCCTACAGTGATGAATGGGCTTGTCTAGGCCCTATGGGTAGAATGGCCACAGATGGCTCCAGCAACTCCAGATCAGCATCTTAGAGGAGCGTCTCCCACATCTGTGACAGGCCCTCATTGGACGTTCTTTGAGTTCTGACAGTGTAGTATTGGAGGAGCTACCACAGCCAAGACTGAGGTGTGCCCTTCCTACACTGGTGACCCTGCTTAAACTGCAGAACTCTTCTGGAACTGTCTGTTGTCATGGAAATGAGGTGACAATAGTGCTGCTGTTGGGGGCCTTGAGCAAGGGTGTGGAGTGTATTAGCACAGCTTGAGCACTGAATACTGTGCTGTGGGAATTTTTAGTTTTCTGTCGGGAAGAATCAGGCTGTTGGCCCAGCCCTTTAGCAGTTTATATTGTTTCTAGGAATTCATGCTTAAGGAAATGTGTATGCTTTCTTCTGAGAGAGAAATTCCTCCCAGTTGGTCCCAACTCTTTTTCTCCTTGCTACAGACTTGTTACAGTGCTGTAGTAAACCACTTTTCGGTCTCAGATTTTTTTTTTTTTTTTTTTTGATTTTTCGAGACAGGGTTTCTCCGTAGCTTTTGGTTCCTGTCCTGGAACTAGCTCTTGTAGACCAGGCTGGCCTCGAACTCACAGAGATCCGCCTGCCTCTGCCTCCCGAGTGCTGGGATTAAAGGCGTGTGCCACCACCGCCCGGCTCGGTCTCAGATTTTGATAATGTTCAATCTCTGAAACAGTTAGCATTCATAGGTGGGCTTTATGGTTATTTCCCCCAACACACCAAAATCTCTCTCTTTTTTTTTGGTTTTTCGAGACAGGGTTTTTCTGTAGCTTTGGAGCCTGTCCTGGAACTAGCTCTTGTAGACCAGGCTGGCCTCGGACTCACAGAGATCTGCCTGCCTCTGCCTCCTGAGTTCTGGGATTAAAGGCGTGCGCCACCACTGCCTGGCTCAAAATTTCTCATTTTATATGCTGTTATCTATGTACATTAGGAAGTTGTAAATTATCAGATGTGTCCCTTTAAAGTGAACTTTTGAAAAGAAACTAAATATAGTAGCTGTCTTTCACAAAATAGAAATGCCTGAGAAGTGGAATATTTAATAAACACACACATACACAAAGACTTCTTGGGTAGCCCTGTAGAGGGCTAACTTGTGTCTTGACTGCTGGCCACTCCCCTCTGCCCAGGTCTACCACACTTTCCATGACGAAGTGGATGAGTATCGTCGGCACTGGTGGCGCTGCAATGGGCCCTGCCAGCACAAACAGCCCTACTATGGCTATTTGAAGCGTGCGACCAACAGGGCACCCTCTGCCCATGACTACTGGTGGGCTGACCACCAGAAAACTTGTGGAGGCACTTTCATAAAAATCAAGGAGCCAGAGAACTATTCAAAGAAAAGCAGAGGAAAGGCAAAACCAGGCAAGCAGCGAGCATCAGCAGTGGAGAACAAAGGTACCTCTCCATTTCACCTCCCATCTCTGTAACCCTGGCTAGTGCATGGACAGTGCTGCCTGTTGGGGAGCCAGGTTAAGGTTGCAAGGCTGTTCTTTTCAGGTATAAAGCATACAGAGTGGTGATGGGAAAGTGTGGCTTGCTCTGTGTGGAAGGGAGGAAAGGTGAACCGGTCTCCATCTACAGTATCTGAGGGAAAGTCCAAGGCAAATGACTGTCAGATTGAAAACAGTAACTGAATTAACATCACTCAGACTGTGAGTCCTGACTAAGCCAGCCCTTCCTATCTTAGTGACTTCTGCCAAGGTGTCCGGGGAGGATGGGAAAGGATTCTGGCCTGCATTTGTCCATGTTGTCCTTAGGAGCTGCTCCTTTCCTGAGAAGCTCTGAGGAGGCCAGGAGTCACTGAAGTTGATGCTTCCCCTTGCAAGGGTGTCAGTTTGGGGTCCCCTCAAGAGCCAAGCTGTAGTTCCTAATCTGAAATGCTGAGAAGTCAGGGGACTGGAGAACTGGTGCGGAGGGACTGAATTTTTGGGAAGCTGGGTGAGTAGGGAACAGATTAGAGGAATCTAAGCACTGGGAACATTCCTTAGTTCCTATTTATAATTTCTTCATCTTTGCTGTTCTTAGTGCAAGACTCTGACTAATGAAGTTTGCCTTCTCTTGTCAATGGGTGACTACTGCACAGATCTGAGTTAGAACAAAATAGTCCTTCAGTTTAGATAATTACCATTTGCTCAGTGTTTGTCATGTGGCAATATGTCCAAGAAGAGTCTTGTCTGCTTCTTTTGCAGACAAGCCGCTCATCCCATTCAGTGGCAAAGGGTATGTTCTTGGAGAGACAAGCACTTGCTCTTCACC